ACACTATCAACAAGCTCACAATGTCTGATATGTCCTTCATTCTTCTGAGAAGCCTCAGGATGGTGAATGCTGCTATAGATGGCATTGAAGCAGGCTTCTTTGCCTCTGAGTATCTTGTCCCACTTAGAGAAGGTCTTGATGGTGTTTTACAGATAGATGTTGAGAAGCTCCCTGTTTCTGACACACTTTAGATCTCCATTCTCTTGAGCAAGCTTCTCTTGGGCATACTACAGCAGTTTCTGCTCATTGACCTTTCATTGTTTGTGTCTGGACTCTTCATCCTCTAAAAAAGAGCTGGAGTCACTTGAGGATATTGGGAGAGGAATTGGGATCAATGTATCCTTGCTTAATAGATTTGATGAGGTCATCAGTGAGCCTGTCAATTGACCTGGGTGAGAGAAATTGTCTAGACAACTCATTCCCTTGTCAACAACCACTCTTTTTCCCTTGTATTTTATCTCTAGTTCTTCTCTCTCCATGCTGGTTATTTCTTTCAGAAAAGTTTTCAAGACCCCTACTTGTTTCTTTGTTAGCTTTGCATGCCTGACAGTATTTATACTTCTTTTCATCAAGAGATGACATTCATTTCAATATTCTTGACAAGCTAGAGGTAAGCAATGATGGAATCTTGGTAAATGTTAGAGAGTAGGGACAATGCATTGCCTATGATGACAACCCCCATGATAGTGATGGGCTTAAACTTTTTTTCAAGTCTAAGGGCATTGAGTTGCTGGACAATGATGTGCTTGCTCCCAAACAGAGTAACAGGGGGCATGTCATTAGATGTGATGTCACCTTGATCTCTGTCTCCTTTGCCCTAAATCAAGTTCAAACAAAGGGTGGATGATTGTCCAAAAGAAGGCATGGCTCATAGACTCACTGGAGCTCATTAAACTAATACAGGCCAAACCATTAAGAGTGTAACTTGCTGAACAAAGTTCAACTGTAATGCAAGAAAGTGAGTTCACATTCTATCTGATTCCTCCTCTTATTTGCAGTTCACATGACTGAACATGCAGGGGATTTTACCCCAATATATAGTAACAAAACTGATAGTCAGCAATGACTTGCTGAACACAATGACAAACTTGGCCCAAAGACAAACTAAAACACTCATAACAAGCTTTGCAAAGAACTGACTCACTTGTCCTTGGCTTGCTCATTGACTCTCTTGTCACTTGGGCTTTGATTTTCATTGAGTATATTCTGCAAGTTAACTATCCTTTTACAGAGTTCACTGTTAATAGTTACATATGTCATTAGGACCAAGATAACTGACCATCCCATCTTCTTGTGTACTTTGCTAGACTAGCTTGACCATGATGAAATTTCCTGTCATAGCTGCATAGAGACCACTGGAGAAGAGTAGATGGGCTTCTTGCAAGTTAGAGTCCAATTATTTTAGCAAAGCTGCAATGGCCTTGTGCAGAGCAGAATAATAAGATGCTGAACACTCTAAGAGTGGACAATGGAATGGGTCATAGAAGAGCCTAGCAAAGACTAACAATAGAGCAGAGAATGAGGAATAAGGAACTGAGAACAGGAAACACAAATTGATATAGGCATTGGTGTGTTGAGACAGAATCAGACAAATTGAATTCACAAGATTAGTGAGTGAAGATGGGTATCAATTCATAGGGGCCATTCAAAAGTAGGCTGTTATGTGGTGTTAAGATGAAAAAAATGCAACAAAGTTCAAGATGAGGAGGGAAAGAGAATGAGGTTAAATGACTGTGAGATAAGATGCTGTCCCAGATCAGGATCAAAGACTGTGAATTGCAAGAAATAAAATCTGTGGAGAAAATGTCAAGAAAATGAGAAAGACAGATTCAAGAGGAGAAGTGGCTCTGAAGATTTGATAGAGAGTGGCCTTCGATGGACAATGATTTTAACGCCCACATACAGTCGTCATAGCCAAGTGGTTACGGCGACAGATTTGAATATCTCATCATCTGTTCCTCTTTGAGGGCGTAGGTTCAAATCCTGCTGGCGACGAAGATTAAGTAGGGAAGTAAGAGTCTTTTTTCTTCTATATTTCATGCATTTCAAATTGTGATAAGACTAACAATGTCTCAAGAGAGTCAAAAGATATACATTAGACACTTCTGCTTCCCCCTAGCCGACTTGAACGACTGACCTCGTCATGAACGGAGCTTGGAAAAGCGGATACTAGTGACGCGCTCTACCACTGAGCTAAGGGGGATACATTTTGTAGTGAAATGCTGTCCTCTCGTGGTGAAAAATTAGCTCTCTATTGGCCTTGATCGATGGCCTGCGGCTTGAGGTTGGACCACGATGGCCGCGCAGCGTCCGCAGCGACAACGACCAGCATCGTCGCACCGCCCTGAGCTCTCCTCTCGACCCAGCCGGGACTTTGCCCCGCCTGCTGCGCCCAGCAGCTGGGAGCCCGAAGACGACTACGACGATGACCCCGAAGACGACAACGACGACTTCTTCAACGGCTCGCCCACCCGCGGCCTCCAGCACCAGCCCTCCTTCCAGCACGACCCCCCTCTCCCGCCCTCCTCCCAAGCCACCAACTCCATCCGCGCCCCCTCGCCCCCCGCCTCCGGGCCCATCCTCGACCACTCCCACCTCCGTCCCGGCAAACAAGCCGCCCTCCTCTCCCACGAGCGCACCCTCGAGCTCTACCGCGCCAACGCCAAAAAGACCCAGGACCCCGATCTCCAGTTCGAATTCGCCGTCTTCATGATCGACGCCTCCAAATCCCTCCCCATCCCCCCCTCGACGCCCGGCAACCTCCTCGTCGTCGAGCGCGCTCTCGAGAAGCGCGACGACCTCATCAAAGAAGCGACTGCGCTCCTCAAACGCCTCGCTGACCGCGGCCACCCCTCCTCGCAGTACTTCCTCGCCGACTGCTACGCCAACGGCATCGGCACCGCAAAGGGGAAACAGGACTTTGACCGCGCGTACCCCTTATTCGTGCTTGCCGCGAAGCACGGGCATGCGGACGCGGCGTACCGCGCGGGGACGTGCTGCGAGAACGGGTGGGGGTGCCGCCGGGAGTCTGCCAAGGCCCTCACGTTCTTCCGCAAGGCCAGTGCGGCGCTGCATCCCGGTGCGATGTACCGTCTCGGTATCGCGGAGCTCAATGGCGAGCTGGGGCTCAGCCGGAGCCCGAAGGAGGGTGTTAAGTGGCTGAAGCGCAGTGCGGAGCATGCGAGCGCCGAGTTCCCGCATGCGCTGCATGAGTTGGCGTTGTTGCATGAGAGGGGCATAGATAATGTGCTTTTTGTGGATTTTGAGTACTCGATCGAGCTGTTGGCCCAGGCGGCGGAGTTGGGGTATGCGCCGAGTGCGTATAGGCTTGGGGAGTGCTATGAGTATGGGAAGATGGGGTGCCCGCAGGATGCGGCGCTGTCTATACACTACTACGTGCGTCTCCCTCTCCTCCTTTTCGCCTCCCTGTGTTTTATCTCACCGACGAACCGAACCGAACAGAATATAGCGGCACAACAAAACCACCGCGACTCTTGCTTCGCACTCACAGCGTGGTACCTCGTCGGCTCACCCGGTGTACTCCCACAATCAGACACCGAGGCTTTCTTGTGGGCACAAAAGGCAGCAGAAGGCGGCCTCGTCAAAGCCATGTATGCCGTAGGGTACTTTTGCGAGGTGGGCATCGGTACACCCGCGAATATGCCCGAGTGAGTGTTTTCTTGTCCCTCCCATTCCCTTTCACTCGCTTATTAACCCCCCAACCCCCCGCAGAGCCATATCATGGTATAAACGCGCTGCCGAGAAGGGCGACAAGCGTGCGGCGCAAAGGCTCAAGGGCCAGCCGCTCCCGAGCGGGCCTGGAGCGGTGCTGCGCCGCGGGGGAGACGGAGAGGGAGATGCGAAGGGCGGGAAGGACAAGGAGTGTGTTGTTATGTGAGGTGGGGGGGAGTGCATTAGACGAGACGAGACGAGACGAGACGTGGATGAACAGCATGAATGGATATGATGTGTGTGGACGTTGGGCGACGCATCGTATACTGTGCTCTTTCTCTTTCTGTTCCCTCTAACGTACACTTACAACTTTCATTTACACTCTACACGCTTTCTCGACGTATTTCACTCTCCCCTTTTCATTCATCCCACTCCTCATCCTCCTACTTCCCTCTCCCCGTTATATGTTATCCGGTGTATAGTACATACGTCACACGTATTCTTCGGACATTTTTTTTTCCCTCCACGTACATAATCTAGACTGTAATGCATATGATCTTGTTGGACTGAATCCATTCCGAGTTTGTGCTAAGCATGATATGTGCAATACATACTAAACTGTCCTTGTCCCCATTTTGATGGCAATGATCAGTGTGGCGCGTGTTCGAATTCACGAAGGCATACTAGAAGGCATGTATTACGAACAGGTATAGTATTCAATAGAACAAAGGTGTATCCATATCTGTATTGGGTGTATCTTGGATTTATGGGCAAGTATGTATAACAGCATAAAAGGTAGTACAATTCCGTCGAGGCGAGGTATCTTTAGGGGTCATGATAGGAGGTACACGTGAGGTGGAGCCAGCCATAATGTGAACGAATGAGACGAGACGCGAGCGAAAACAGAAATGGAGATGGAAATGGAGACCAGAGAGGGGCTCGCATGTGCATACATAAATAGATCATAGGTCATCGTCATGCACCATGTTCATATCGTACATGAAACTGTCGTCTGTCGTCCGTTCCGTCCGTCCGTCGGGTATACATACTGTCATTGTCAAAAATAATTAGCTGAGAGCAACGATATTGGCGTAGGAGACTCGGAACTCGGTGGGGTCATACTTCTCATCTGCGTCGGAGGCGCAGACGTGTTCCCAGGGCTCGTCAAGATCGAGCTCGGCGGGGGCGGTGATGTCGTCGAGGACGATGACGGAACGTAGGGGGGGCACAAGTTCAAAGTCTTGTTCTGCGGGGGTGACGAAGGGTCTTAGCATGTGAAATGACGCAATATAGAAACGCAGTGGATATGCGAATGTGGCAAAATGGGAATGACAAAAGCAATAACAAACGGACACTTACCCCGGCCACGGCGGGGCTTCCGCGCGATAAGCAGGTCGCTCAGCGCAACTTCGGCCCGACGCCCCCCTGTCCTCTCGCGTTCCCACTGCGCATCCTCAGGCACACCCACACGCAACGAAAGCGACCTCGCCTCGCCCCACTCGACCTCGTTCTCCTCCACCCCCAGCTCATCCTCATCCTCACAATCATGCACACCCACACGTGAATCGACACACATCCCCGCGCCGCTCCTCGATTGCGGCTTGACGAGCGACAACGCCTTCGTCTTCATCTTTGCCTGCCTGCGAGCGAGGAGCACAGCGGCCTTCTTGAGGCGCTGGCGGTCGTGCTCGTACGCGCGGGACTCTTTGAGGCTTGGAGTTGGTGGTGGGGACTTGCACTGCGGGGGTGGCTGCTGTGCGCCAGAGATTGCGGTGGGGAGACGCGGGAGCGGCATGCTGGGCTCAGAGGTGGTGGTTGGTTGATGAGAGAATGGAGAGACCAAGGGAGCTTTATATGGAACGCGGGCAGATAAGGACCAGAGACCGTGACTCAAGTCGCGTCATCAGGTGGCGCTGCATTGCTTCCCATTCTCGTCCTTGTCACGTTTGTCGCACAGTCCACGTTTGCGGCCGACTGAGCGTGCGTGCTGTTTATAGTAACCACCCACTCTTATGTGACTCGCAGGTACCTCGGAGCCCCTAAACGCGACTTGTAGTCAATCAATAGTTGATCCTTCTTTGAATTGCGGTGATTTGCCTTGACTGATGGCGAGTGAATGGGTTTCCCATGTTTGGACAAGTTGACCGTTCCAAACACGTTCTTCCATTCTGATAGGCGCCCAACTAACTCCGTCTTCCACACAAAAGAAACCTGATCTTGACTCTCGTGAGACACTCTTTCGCAGCTTTATGATGACAAAGGGCGATAGAATTCTTTCATAGGAGTCAAAGGGAGTGTCTCCAGCATGCAGCCTCAAAAACTGATTCAGCCCTACCCTAAGCTCGTATAAGGCAATGACGGCCAATTTTACCTGCCATTTTTAGGCCGGCTCTTTTATCTGGCCTGTCAAACCCTCTGTCCCAGGTGTCAAAGCTTTCTTTCTCAACTACCATCTGCTTCACTCTCTTCCCAATGTACTGTGATCGTTGCGACAGATTTTTCAATTCCTGGCACGCCCTATACCAGCACAAAGACAACTCTTCCCGCCACAACATCTGTGACGAGTGCAACATCGACTTTGACATGTGGACCAAGCTCAAAGAGCACTGGGTGCAGAGCCCGCACCATGCCTACTGTCAGCGCTGCGATAAGCACTTTGCCCATATACACGACCTTCAAGATCATAACAACCAAGTGCACTACTGGTGCCGTTCTTGCAACAGATTCTTTGCCAGCTCGATAGGGCTCCACGAGCACTACCGTCAGTCTCCGCAGCACCACTACTGCGTACCCTGCAAGCGCCCTTTCCAAAGCGCAAGCAACCTTCAATCCGTATATTCCATCTCTTTTCAGCACTCCTACCCCCTTTCACTAACCCCTTACTCACACACAGCACCTCAACTCTTCCCACCACCACCCGCGTGACGTCCCCTGTCGCGGCAAAGGTTGCAAACTGACCTTTGTCTCCGTCTCCGCTATGCTTCTCCACCTCGAATCCGGCACCTGCGTCTCTGGCTTCTCACGACGCATCATCGACACCAAAATCCGCGAATGGGACCGTAACAACATCATCACCGACCCTTCCCGCTTGCTAACCTCCTCTCCTTCCTCCAATACAGCTTACTACGCCACCAGCGCAGCATGGAACGGGCACGCGTATGAGTGTTATCTGTGTCATGGGCCGTACAAGAGTCTCGCTGCGCTCAATCAGCATTTGGCGAGCCCGAGGCACCAGGATAAGATCTATGTGTGCCCGCAGGCGACGTGCAGGACGAGGTTCCCCACGATCAGTGGGCTGTGTCAGCATATTGAGAGTGAGAGGTGTGGGGTGCATCGGTTTAGGGAGGTCAAGATTGCGATGGATGGGATTGTGGGTCAGATGGGGAGGTTGACGATGTAGAGACCTTGTAGTGGTGAGGGTTTTTTTCTTGGACTTGGAGCTCTGCCTGGGCCCAGCATTTTTGTTTGAATGCGTGCAGAGGATTTGGGAGGTATCCACACCCAAGCACGAGACTTTCTTGGAACGGAGGATCAGGATTCGGAATGGAAAAACTTCTTGGAATTGTACAATGCATACATACAGGCTTCACTCGCGTTTACTGACTCTGTACGCCATTTGTAAAATTTTGGGAATGTCCCTCTTAGCTCAGTGGTAGAGCGCGTCACTAGTAGCTACTTGTTCCTATGGAATGACGAGGTCAGTCGTTCAAGTCGGCTAGAGGGAATATGGACGCGCCAATGCACATTTTTTGTCTACTAACACTGACCGGTTTAGCTACAGCAGCTGCTTTTTGGTGTCGGACCCTCGTAGACTCGAAACCAGACGCGTACAGTCCAACCGGCGAAAGGGCTTGAGCCTGCCAGACTGATGACAAGCCTGGTGTGGTATGCATATATACCCGGCGCACACATAGAAGACTTATAACACCCGATTTTCTGAACTTGACGTTGCCCATTGCTGACGATCTAGTCACGTTGGACGTATAGGTGTAGCATTGACAAGGCCTATAATATTATTGAGATTCTAGTATAATACACAAGATATATATAGCCAGGTAAGTAAGAGAAAGTTGTTAATCCGAATCTAGACCATCATCGCTTTCATCAATTTCGGAATCCTTGTATTCATAAATGTTAGAATTCCTGGCATGAGTATTAGCTTTCCTGGATTCATGAGGATTAGAAGTCTCGGGTCCATAAATCATATCAAGATCGTCTTGCACTTCGAAATAATCCTTCATCTCCACGTCGGGATTGCCAGGGCGATCGGGGAGAGAATCCAAGAGCATCAGGTAATCCTCCTCTTTGAGATGCTCGAAACCAATAAGACGGTAAAGCCTTTTTCGGCGGTTTATCTTCCACGCCCTCGTCGCCCGAGCCCTACGAGCAACAACAAACTCATTGTTCGACTCGTCCTCCATGCGCTCGAAGTCCCCATCGTTCATCATTTTATCAAAGAACCTCCCATCGGGCGGCGCCGCACACGAAAAGTCAAAGACTTCGATGATGGTCCCGCCCCCAGTCGTCAAGCACAACCTTCCAATCGTGTGATCCCACGCGATAGCACCAAGACCGTACTCCCCGTACCGAGCTGTAACTTCTGAGCCAAGATCAATTATCGTGTAAATTTTGAGCTCCTGCGACTGGTAGTCTGTTCTCTCGACGGTGGATTTGCGCCGCACGCGCTTGAGAGGGTATCTATCGCTCTGGTGTTCGGGGCTGAGGTACCGACGGAGAGATGTCAAGGATGGTGCGGCCCGGTCGGTGCTTCCAATCGTGTAGACGAGCGAACGGAACACCCCAGGAAGAACGTGCCCAATATACGGCCGGCAATCGAGCATCGTTTGTACGACGGTGGTGGCGTCAAGTGGAGTGTAGATGTACTTAGGTATAATGCCCTTGTCGTCGACGTCGACGTCTGAGTGTAACCCTCTCCCTGGTGATGGCCATATGTGCCAATGCAAGATACCTTGAGGCTTCGACATCTCGGCGAAGACAGAGATCGGCGGCGGGGGTTGAGAAGAAGATTGAAGAGGAATATCACTTTGTCCGTCATAGGGATCATCCGTCATGTGGACAGATGTAACATTACCTTCTGGTAAGACTAGAGAGCCATAAGAAGCCGAGGTGATGGTGAGTGATCCCTTGGTAGTGTCGAACGGCATTGGCAGCACTTCGATGCAATGGGCATGCCTTTCAATCAACTGATGAGGTTCGAGGTGATCGGGGTCTAGCTGTTGACCGATCAGAAATGTGCGCCAGATGAGCACTGAATTCCGTTCGGGGCAATGGCGAACAGCTTTGACCCACGATTTCTGCAAATGCCTCAGTCGTTGCAGACGACGAGCCAAAACATAACGTACCATACTCCGATGAGGAAGCACGGGCCACCGTTCTGATGCGAGCAGATAAAAGGCATAGGGCTTGAAAACTAGAATGGACGGCCCCTCAGGATGTTCTATGTTGACGATGACGAGATAATCTCGACCGTCTTGGTCGGCCTCCTGGAGAGCACTTGCGTATGCAACGCCACCTCGACTGTATAATGACAATTGGACAGCATGCGTCTTCAACGGCACGTTCACCGTCTGTGTGAAAGGTTTGTATCGCTTGTCTGACGATAAGAACTTGTGCTTTGTCGTCTCAGGGTCAGCAGGATCCCGATGGGCACCTGCCAGCAGATCAAGCATGCTCAAATCCACATAAAGACAGTTTAAGTAATGTGTGATTTGAGCCGGTGGATCAATGGTAGCACTACAATGGACGGTTGGTTAGTACGGAAAGATTTGTGGTTATTGTGTGAATACTCACTGTGCTGGTTCGCCCGAGCAAAGCGTTCGGTGGGTAAAAGCGATCATAATTACAGGTTGTCTTTTATATGTCATATACTTGGCTTGAAGCTGATAAGCTCTCGTTGGGATTGGACATCTGGCCAAGATATGAGGTCCACTTGGATGATCGAGATGGTACAGTGCGATGAAGAAACGATAATCATCTCTGATCGACGCAATAAGATATTTACCGCCAGGAAGGAGCTTCATATCAAGCACTTCAAGGCACGCGTCGAACGACATCGTAGAGTAGACAATAGGTTTTTTCTTGCGCCAGTTGTCCTCCAGCGAAATAGCGCGCGAAACGAGCTGCTCGTATTCGTAATCCGAGCTTCGAACAGAATAGTTCAATGTTGGGCGGATTGGGGGAAGAGGGATCTTCAGTTGCTGTAGGAAACGCTTCCATATCAATGGTTCGTGGGTCAGGTAAAAGTAGTGTTTGTTGACCTGCAGATATCGTGTCAGTCTTGTAAGGGAGTAGTTCCAACTGGACTTACTCTTCGTAGAGCCAAAATGTCCTCAACATGTAGGTATGGACTAATCTCATCTACGAAAATATCCAGAGGAATAGTTGCCGCAATAGAGTTTGGGTCTGGCGGCAGAACAAACTCGTCGAGGAAGCGAGATGTCCTTCCAGAAGCTTGCCAGTCCATTTTCGAGAGTCAGGATGAAACGAAAGCCTAGAAGTATTGTTACTAAGTAGTGGGTTCAGAGTTGGCGGTTTGGAGAGATATTATCAAATTGAATTATCTCGTCGCCATTTTGGATTTTATAGGCATGGGTGCCATTGTACTGTGCAGCCAGAGCCATGAACAACGACTCCCGCACAAGGGCAATATCCAAGGTGACGAGAAAGACTTTGTCACTTTTTCGGGAATCCTTCTGGGTTCTGGTAACTTCATTTGGTCGGATTTGGACATTGTTTGTTCTCCCGCAGCCCACGAGTTAGCAGCCACGAGGGTCAACTCATACGGGGAAAAAGTTTAGAGAGTTCAAGAACGCGGCGTTATCGATTCTGGAACAAAGACGATCTTGTCATCGGGAGTCTCGCACAAACAACGGGAGCCTCATCCGCGTACCACGGTTAAAGCCCTACTAATAAGTTTGTATCTTGGGCATAGGCACTTCTGATGCATACATAGTGCAAGCTTCGCTAATTTTATTCGATACCTGTAATACACTATTTCAAACTTGGGAGTAGTCAAGTATCGGAAAAGTAGTCATCAGAATCGGTGTCCGTATCCATATCCACGTCTTCATCGACACCTAGACCCTCCAGGTCCGGATCCCTCTTCGACCTAGCCCTACGAGCAACAACAAATTCATTTCCCCCCTCTTCCTGGTCAATGCGTTCGAAACCCCCAGGACTCGTCATCTTCCAATCAAGGAATCTCTCATCGGGCAACGCCGCATACGAAAAGTCAATGACTTCAATGATACTTCCACCCCCAGTCGTCAAACACACTCTTCCGGTAGTCTGGTCCCACGCGATAGCACCAAGACCGTGGTCCCGGTACCGAGCTGTAGCTTCCGGCCCAATCTCGAGCTTAGTGTAAACATTGTATGGCATCCGCGCGTAGTTATTCCTCTCGACGGCGGAGTGGCGCTGCACACGCTCTAGAGGGTAATTGTTATGCTGGAACTCGGGGCTGATGTATCGACGTAAAGATGTCAAGAAAGGCGTGGCGGTCCGGTCGGTACTCCCAGTCGTGTAAATGAGCGAACGAAACACTCCAGGAAGAACGTGCCCAATATCTGGGCGGGCATCATGTCTAGTTTGTTTCGTGATGTTGCGTAGATTATAGATGTAACTAGGTTTAGTCTCGGGTGTCCGCGCTTTTTCTGGCCATATGTGCAAATGGTCGATACAGTGAGGATTCATCATTTCAATGTAGACAGAGATCGGCGGCGGGGGTTGTAAAGATGCTTGAGGAGCAAGATCACTTCGCTCATGGGAGGGCCAAACATCGTCCGTCATGTGGATAACTTGAACATCTCCTACTGGTAAAACTAGACGACCGGCTCTAGGAGTAGCAAAGGTGATTCCTCCTTCATGGGTTTTGTTCGGCATATCCAATATTTCTATGCCATGAGCATGCCTTTTGACCAAACGACGAGGTTCAGGGTGATGGGGGTCTGAGTATTGACCAGTCACTATCGTGCGCCAGATGAGCACTTGATTCTGTTCTGGGAGATGACGAACAGCTTTGACCCATTGTTGCTGCAAATGCTTCAGTCAGTGTAGACAACAGGCCAAAACCTGACATACCATATCCGGATGAAGATAGTTCACGTTCAAGTGTAGGTTATCCGGATAGACATAGGGTTGGCAGATTAATTGGCATGGTAGATGAGGATGTTCTATGTTGACGATGACGAGATAATCTTGACCGTCTGGTTCTGGTTTGGCCTGCTGGATAACACTTGCGTGTGCAACACCAGATTGACTGTATAATGACAGTTGTGCGGTAGGCGTCTCCAACGGCAACCTCACCACCGGCATGAAAGGTTTATACCGATTGTTTGATGACAACAATTTGTGCTTTGTTGTCTCAAAGCCAGTAGGATCCCGATGGGCACCTGCCAACAGATCAAGCGTACTCAGATCCACATGAACACAGTTTAAGAAATGTGTGATTTGAGCAGGTAGATCAACGGTAGCGTTGTTAGCAAACTTCGCCGGATCAATACTACATGAAGAGTCAGTCAACTTAGTCACAGGATGATTATGACTTGATGTGTGAGATACTCACTTTGCTGGTCCTCCCTCGTTGAGTTCTCGGCAGAGATAAGCGATCATAATGACGGGCTTCCTCTTATACGTCATATACTTGGCTTGAAGCTGGTAAGCTTTCGTTGAGATTTGGCATCTGGCCAAAATATGAGGTCCACTT